TGGTCTTGCGACAAGACTCGGATGTACCTAACTGACAGTCGTCCACCGCCTGTAAGCCCTTGACTACCAAAAAGTACTGGCTCGATGGATCACCCATACCTTGACCGATGGCAGGCTGTGCACCTGGGTACCCCTTGGTGAGTCTCCCCTTCTCCGCCCTTGTCAGAAGGAGTTTTAAGGAGACTGCTTAGTGGACATGAGAGATGGGTCCTCTGTGATTTCAACTCACACAGTACCGTGTGTCTCTCTCAAGGAGAAGATCCATCCTAGCAGTCCAAACCGGGCATGTATTCCGAGAAGGTTCTCCTGTGCTGCTTCTGGGACGCGAGGGAATGCTGCACAACGAGCTGCCCTGTAAGAACACACGGTCATCGCTACCATTTATATCGCTCAGCTCCTGAAACCGGTGGAAATTGTCGGAGAAAAGTGACCGAGACTAGCTTCGGGGCACCTCTTTCGTAGTACGCGAGACCCCATACCTGCTATGGAGACCTACCAAATAATTGAGGAGCAAGGCTGGGAGACCAGTCCCCGCTTATCATATTCTCCTGACGTAGTCCCCTAAGACTGCTACCTGCTCCGCCTCCTTAGGGCTTTCTTAGCTAAGAAAACTTTCAGCAACTTTGATGACATCAGTCGAAAGGCCGCTGACTTACTCTACTCGCAGCCTCCTTAGTTCTGGGAGGAGGGAAATGCTCACCTGTCCATTAGGTGGAGCACTGTAGTGGCTAACTATGACGAGTATATTGTTGACTAATTCCCACTGTATGTTGAGTTAGAAAATAAAAAAAAAAGTCTCAACAGTGACAAGACTTTCCTTCCAACCTATATTTTTCTCCCAAAAGCTAGTCGGAGCTCTTAGCAGATGGCAGTCCTGAGGAGAAATACCACCAAACCATAGTGAACCTCTCATTTGTTCCAGTCCGGCTGTTTTAGGAGATATTGGCCTTTTGCAGTGGGAGGTCTAGCATTAGACAGTCGTAGTATCGAAAGTTATCTTCGCACTGCTCAGGTCAAGAGGCGGCTATTGGGACTGTTGGTGAGTGCTCGCATACACCTGAACAATTCCCAAAAACAGTATGTCTTACCTGTTCTGAAAAAGTCGGAATTCTCAGAGGAGGATCTTCGTGTCTCGGTCAGGCTGATGAGTCCCGGTCGCGGATCAGTTACTAGGCATGTCGCGTTGTGCTGTCAATGTGGACCCTGTTCTAGCCTTCAAAAGCAGCCCACTTGAAAAAGTGCTGTCTGCGTTCAGAGAAGAAATCCTGTGCGGAAGGGCCCTTAGCAGATGGCAGTCTTTGGGAGAAATACCATCAAATCATAGTGAACTTCTCATTGCTCTGCGGTATCCATCGAGGCGTCATCTTTCGGTAGTCCAGTCTACCCATGGTCAGATAAGGAGCGGTGTTGACTTAAGCGTGTTCAGGAGTCCCCCACACTCCCTGCAGGAGCACCCAGGTGCAATAGCAACATAAAAGGTGAGGTTGACACGCCCGTGGCGTCATCAGCGAGGCAGTTGGATCATTGTACCGCAGTTTCTTTAGTAGCAATACTTGAAGGCATAAAGCACGGTAATTTGGTACACGATCCAAAATGTTAGCAGGAGTGTTAGTCGCGGTTAAATGCCGAAAAAGCGAAGTGGAAAGGTCAAAAACTTGCAAAAAAGCCTTTGTTCTACACGACTCAAAAAGCAGTTTTGGACGAGTTTCCCTCTGGCATCGTGCCAATAACCGCTACGGTAGATACGGCTGCACGTATATACTCATCTATCACAGCCGCTTCATACCAATTTCTTCGCTTTGCATTGTACTTCGTAAATGAAGCGCTACGAGCATCAGGTACGGTCGGACGTTCGTGGGGGCAGGCGCAATGGGCGTCCGGGTCTGTATGTTGCAGCTTGATAGGGCGCTATAAGGGTACCTCCCTTGGAAAAAGCGCCACGCAGCGCCTGCTCAGGGGCGCCGAATTCTGTCCTGCTAGGCGTATGAATCTTACACGTCTTGAAGATTGGTCGTGCCACTTGCCTTCAACCCTAATATAAAGCTATCCTTTTAAATCGTCATCCAGCCTTTGAATTATATCCGTAAACGTAATTCTGGGTAGGGAGCATTAATCTGAGAGGACTCTCAGCTGATTGGTATTCAGCAAGTACTCCGCTCCAGAACTCCTTCAGATCTTGAAGGACCAACGAATTCTTTGAAATAACACACGCACTCGGCGGTAACTCTGCTCAGAGCAGAAATTGTGGATTTGAACAGCAATCGGGCAAGCAAAATGGAAAGACTCAATATATTTGAATATACAAATGAAGAAAGGATTGAGAATAAAACTCACATTCGTGCACATACCGATCCCTACGAGCATGTAGAACGAGAAGAGGCACGCTATGAAGATTTCACGATTTTGCTTGATGATCGGGAACTCGTCCGACAACGCCGTGATGATCGCCTCCGAACCGCCGAACTGAGGAAAGTATTTTGTGTAAATATAAAGTTGTTGCAGAAATTTCTGAACTGGGTTAGAAACCATTGCTTACGTATCATTGTTCTAGGAAACCAAGCCAAAAAGCGGCCAGCTTTCCGCTTCGGTTCCAAAACGAGCCATCTTTTGGCTGGCTCGTTTTGGAACCGGAACGGAAAGCGAAAGAGTGGGTCAAACACATGCAAAATGCATTGACGCCGACGAACAGTACCGAAGCGCGAATTTTGCTGAAACAGCCCGGAGAGGTTCTATTCCGACGTCAACATTTGGTTGGATATCGCACCAACTGTCAGAAATTTGCCTGACAATTAGTAGACTTGATGTATTTTGCGCTGTTGGCAATGACTAGCAAGCAGACATCCCATCACTCACTCCGGATTTACTGCGAATGATGGGCCGAACTCCAACCATTCTATCGAATCCAGAGTACTTACTCCAGTAAGTTCCATTGCACGATTCAGTATTTGTTGTGCTTTCGTTTCGGCGAACATCGCCCTCTTCGGAGCCTTTCGACAGCCAGGCAAAGCTAAATCTCCTGTGACCGACGCTGGTCCCAAGCAGACTACTTTGCATGTTGGAGAATCTCCAGCGGGGGTCGTATGGACTTGGTCGCTAGGAGGAGGGGAGGGGTCGTATTTGGTCTGAGAAAATTTTTGATAGTTGATTTTTCTTGTTTCATGGACACTATAGACAGGGAGTCATATTCAGTCGTTTTAGGTAGAAAGCGGTCGCATCAAAGGAGGGGATTGGGAGGTAGGGTCGAATTTTCTGTAAAATTTCTCCAGCGTCAAGACGTGCCCTGGTTCCAAGTCCACTCTTTCGCTGATGAGTGATGTTCTCCAATGAGCTTTTCATTGTAAACATCATTAGACTCATAATAAAGCAACTATATGGTAGTAACAGTCATTCCCTACACTCCTGGAGAAGCAACTTGAACCGAAAGAAAATGCAGGAAGTTGCGCAAAAAAAATTACTCTACCGACTAGACCCCAGGTCTTATGGTCCAGTTTGGAAACTTTCGCAGCAGTCTTATCCAAACATTTGTATGTATGCACTTCTTCTGACGGACCTTCTTCTGAGTTTCATAGTCGAAATCTCGCATGTGTGTTACAGTAATGAGAAATAAACGAAACATTGCAAGGTAGTTGTATGAGGTTAACTTACTGAGCTGTCAAGACCAAGTGTGATGAGCATCAGAAAGAAAAGGACGGACCATCCGGGAGCCCATGGCATGGTGGCTAGTGCCTCTGGGTAAACGACGAAAACAAGGCCAGGACCCTCTTGAGCTACTGTATCGATCGGTTTACCGCTTTTGCACGACATGTACCCAAGAACCTGAACGAAAATCGTAGCCTTCTTTAGAATAGGACGTGATAACAATTAGAAGCAAACGATTCAACAAGCATGACATGATTACAAGCATAATGTGAAACCTGACCGAAAATATGACGAATCCCGACAGGAAACTCGTGGCGCAGTTGATGGCACTCGTGATTAGCGCATCCCTGAACAAAAAAGCCTTATAAAGTCGCCAAAAACCAAAGTCTGATAGTCTACGCTGGACTGGAAATGTTATATTAGGCTGGAAAGAAAGTCTTGTCAGCGGTTTTCAAAAAGCTTACAGCTTTTGCTTCTTGATGCTCGAAAATGACGTAACATGCTATGTTCATAGAACATTCGGCACTATTTACCCTTTACTGCCCCAGTCATCCGAAATCAGGCCAGTTCCTGACCGACTTTTTTCTCCGTGGGCAGATTTTGCTCAAATGTTGTCTCCTGGGGTAGTTTGACCTCCAGAATACGAATATCACATTCGCTCAGCCCGAAACTTCCTGGCGCCCGCGCCACAGGCGCCAATGATTTGGGGTATTTTGGCGCCGGTGCCCGTGGTGCGGGCGCCAGGAGGTTTCGGGTCAAGCGGATGCGATATTCGTGTTCAGCGGGTCGAACTACCCCTGGAGCCAAGTTTTCAGCAAATTCTGCCCACGGAGAAAAAAGTCGGTCAGGAACTGGCCTGATTTCGGA